TTGCCTGTGGCTCTGATCTATGGGCGTTCTTCATGCCAGGATCCAGAGTGACTGAAGAAGCAGTGCCTTTCTTGGATAATTTGGGGACAGATGGACAAATAGGAGGTGGAACCACATGACAACTCCTTAAGGCTTCTATTGGAAGTGGCATGTGCATATCTACCCATATTCAATTGGTCAAAGCAGGTTCTATGGTCAGTCGGTGAAGCATAATCTCATGGAGAGGGGCAGCGAATGACAGACACAATAAAACAATCTGCCACAGCTACACCAAGCCTGAAGACTAAAAGCTGATGTTTGGAAGACAAAGATCGAGAAGAGATCACACCAAAGTAGGTTCATAAACAAAGCTGTAAGCAAGCAAATCAGAAAAAATATGAAAGAATCAGAACTTCTTGCCTTATAAGCAAAGCTTGAAAGCTTCAGAAATCAAAATATACATGAGGAAAATTTTGATGTTGTGAAATTTAATAAAGGGAAGCCTCACTAAAATGGAGTTGGGAGGCCAGAGGGGGAGCACAGAAAGGGGGAGCTTTATTACTCAAATGTCTATTATAGGAAGAATTGTCAATTACAGACTTGAATAGAAGAATGGTCAACAGGAAAAAATCATCAGTTACAGGCTCCAATAGGGAATGATGTCCATTGCACCTCCTACAAGAAATGAACCATCCCTGCAACTCAGCCAATAAGAAACCATTATCACCTTTAACTCTTGCTTTTCTCCTATGGGCTTTCATTCAAAACAACCCCTTCCAACCTCTCCTTCTTCTCCATAAAATAATATCCCTTTCCTTTATTTGTTGGGCTTGCCTATGGTTTTGCCATTGCAATTCTCTGATATCCCTAAATAAATCTATTTTTGCTGGTAAAATAGGTGACTGCTTTGTTTTTAAGGTTAACAATGTCTTTACTGACAAAACAAAAGTCAGACTAACAAACTAAGCCAAAGAAGTGTCTTTCTTCAGACATAATCCCATTGAAGCACACTTTTTTTGAGTAATCTAGGTTGGTCTTGGCAGGTCACGGAGGTACTTCATGGAGACATGGCTCCACAATGAGCACTTCCACGATCTGGCATCATTACTTGTGCTTGAAATGCTGTTTGCTCACTCACTGTCTTCTAAATCCTACTCATTCTTCCGCATTTGCCTTAAAAGCCATCTTCTCTAAGAAACTTGGCTTGATCATTCCCATCTGTATGAATTGCATCTTCCTCAGATGTAATGGTGCTTGCATCTCTATTAAATATATTGCCTTCATTATAGTTAATTTTTGACTTCCCCTGCCCTCCCCCCCATCCCAAGAGAACTATGAATTCCTTACTGGCAGAAAGAGTGTTAATTCATTTTGGGGTCTCCCACAGTGCACAATGCAGAGCAGTGCACATGAAGGAACACAATTCATTGTTGAAATTCAGAAATTTACAATCTAGTTAGAAGCCATTTTGACATACATATGTTAGCTCTGTCCTTGAGGTGCTCCCAGAGCATAAGATGCACACAAGAATTAAGTAGTAATTGTTCGTGACGACTGTAGGGCTGAAACTCACCAACACGAGAAGAAAGCCCTGATAAGATAGGCAAAGGATAGGAAAAGATTGGGAGGAGAGGGGTGTGTAAATCAGGGGTGCTGTGAAGCAATCTTAGTGTCTCTTTGTCCCTGTGACATCTAGATCAGTTTGTCCCTTTTTAGGTATTTCTATTTTCTTGCTATCAAATAGTAATTTGTTATATAGGTCTTAGTTTTAACACATTGTTCTACTGATGTGGTTTGACCTCAGTTATGCAAACACTAAAAGCAAGCAATAGAAAGTTAATTTAAGGAATCCGATATGATATTAGGTTGAAATATTTTTAAAATTACATATGGGGATACGTGGAGTACTTATGTTCATAATAGAGAGCATGAATATTTTTAGATTCTCTGATATTAGATTTAGGTGTGCTTGTTCTAGTTTATAAGTCAAAGAATTGGCCTATATCTTCCATCTGTGTGTTTAGGTTTTATGGTGACAGATATAATAACTAGAAATAGAAATTCCATCTTTAGCGATAATATAGTACAGGGACCTGAGAAGAGAAGGTCTTAAGGTGCTGTTAATTAGCAGAAATCTAAAACACATAGTCTCAAAGCAATTAAGGCTGTTAATTGAATACTTGGATGCACAGTGGAATGGTTCATATGTTGCTGGGTAGGGTATCCTAGGCTTGCAGTGGGGAGCTACACACAAGCTATACACACGATGTTGAATAATTTAGAAAGAACAAGTATGGGTAAACATATGTTTGTCTAGCGGTTAACTGCATTTATGACTAGTGATATATTGTTGGCTATATACAAAATGGTCTATTAGCTACAAAATTCAATATTGGTAATTCAATCTTTCAGGCTGTCTGCCGTAAATATGGCACACCATTTACTCATGGAACATTGAGTTTTTTCCATAGTAATTTTGTTGTCCTCTGGTTTGGTAAACATCTCTATAATTCATGTGATACTTTAAATGAAACTGGTGGTCACACAACGGTTACCGTTTGGCATCTACGCACGTTTGGGCCAAGGGGTATGGACATTACTGATAAGCTCAGGGTGGCAAAATGATTTTATTATTTTCTACAGGTTGCATTAGCTGCAGCATTTGATTAATGTGTGAATATACTTCTAGAAAGGAACTTTAATGAAAATTTCAAGATTGTGAAAAAGTTTTCAACAATGGAAAGATAAATGAAACATTCCTTTTAGAAGAACTTGAGTGAAAATGGTTAATACTTCGGGTAGTGCTTATTATTTTTAAAAACTATAGGGTAGACTTATACTTCTGTCAGTCTCAGGCTTATTAGAAGAGCAGAGGAGAGAGGCTATCCACTAAAGAACACCCTAAAGGCAGTGAGTGAAGAGTGAATTTCATGTCTCTTAGACTGTGGCTCAAGTCCTCATAATGGTAGAATTTTTAGTCTCTATGTTAAGGGGGATTTTTTTTTTTTTTTTTTTACGAGTGCTTGGAATCCTCAAAGCTAAAGCTGACCAATAGTTTTCACCTCTTTAGCTAAATGTTCCAGGAAGTGTCAGAATTGATTGATTTGAGGCACCCCCCCCAATCCCAATCCACCTTCTGGAGTAGTTTCTAATAACCTGTTAAGTGGCTTTTTTAAAAAGTGGAGGGCTGAGCAGGCACTGAATGCTAGGAGCACAGAACCTAAAAATCCCCAGGAGGAGCATCTCCATCCTATGAGGAATTAAGCATTCATAAAGATGGGATGATTTTTTTTTTTAAAGATTTATTTATTTGACAGAGAGAGACAGCGAGTGAGGGAACACAAGCAGGCAGAGTGGGAGAGGGAGAAGCAGGCTTCCTTGCTGAGCAGGGAGCCTGATGTGGGCCTCGATCCCAGGACCCTGGGATCATGACCTGAGCCGAAGGCAGACGCTTAACGAATGAGCCACCCAGGAGCCCAAGATGGGATGATTTAAGAACCGGCTATTCAAACTGCTAAAAGACGTTTTGGTGCATGCACAGGGCATATAAAAACAAATTCTGCTTTGTTGAATCACAGACCTGTACCTCTGAAACAAATAATACATTATATGTTGAGAAAAAAGAAAAAAAAGAAGATAACAGGAAGGGAAAAATGAAGGGGTCTGGGAATCGGAGGGGAAGACGAACCATGAGAGACTATGGACTCTGAGAAACAAACTGAGGGCTCTAGAGGGGAGGGGGGTGGGGAATGGGTTGGCCTGGTGATGGGTATTAAAGAGGGCACCTTCTGCATGGAGCACTGGGTGTTATACGCAAACACTGAATCATGGAACACTACATCAAAAACTAACGATGTAACGTATGGTGATTAACATAACATAAAAAAAAGTTAAAAGAAAACCAACCCCCCCCCCCCAAAACACAAATTCTGCTTAAGGTCCAAATCTGAGCTTCTAAAAATATGGAGTTAACCTGGTCAGGGGTTATTTATTAGCTGGGGCTTTTAAAACGCATTGAAACACGAAGGTTAAGGCATTAAGTCATTGGGAAGTCCGTTTAAGAGGTAACCATGCGACCTCTTAGGATCAGGAAAGTTCCTGTTGGTTATGCAATGTGTGCATTTCATTATTTACACGGATGTCACTGGGCGTCTGGGAGCCGTGTGCCCAGCAAGCTGTACCTGCAACAGCGCCCAGACTCTGAAACTAAAACCAAACACACTTTCTTTATTGCTTGTCAACACTCGTGCTTTTGAGATATAATTTCTTTTAGGGAAAAAAATCCCCAAATTATATCCACTTTTCTGGATTAAAACAGTTCTGTGTTACATGTTTTAGGAACTACAAGTTTCTTGGAAAATTTTCCATTCTCCTTTTCACCGTCCTTTAAGGACGAAGGATAAAGTAAATAGCCAACAATAAAAATTCAGAGTGGGAAACTTCTTGCAGGGTCTTCCCAGCCCTCTCTTTTCTCTTACCCATGGCAATTAATCTCTCTCCTTCCCGACCCACCCCTCCGCTTTTTTTTTTTTGTACTTCCTGTAGGAAAGCCGAAAGTAAATAAGGTAGAAAGCCCCGGGTCTAGGGCCTGCACACACGGGTCCTTGGGCGATTCGCAGGCTTCTGGAAGGTAAGCGTGGGAGAGCCGGGAGTGGGGAGCCAACCCCGCAGGTAGGGCGGCCGGGCTTCCGCAGTTTCCCCGGTGGGGTCGGTAGCCCCAGGCCCTTAACTGTTGTCCAGCCCCCGGCGCCGGGGCCACCTAGCGAAGGGGGCGGATCCTCCCGTGCCAGACACGCCCCGGTCGTGTTTATAATCCGCCCGCTGCCGCTCCTGGAGCTGCGGTTCCCCTCGCGCTCCGCCGGGACTCCGGACGCGCGCTTCCTGCCCCGGCCGCCCAAAACTCCGGCTCAGCCCGCGCCCGCCTCGCGCCCGCTCACACCCACACGCGCGCGCTCACACTCACACACTCGTGCCCTCGCACCCCCACGCGCTCCCTGTCGGCCTCACACTCCCAGGCGCTCACACTCCCACTCCTGTCCGCTTCCCTGCGGCCGCGCAGGCACCGCGGGCGAGAGCGCCGAGGGGACCCACGGCCTTTCCCATGGCTGACCTGAGCTTCATCGAAGATTCCGTCGCCTTCCCGGAGAAGGAGGAGGATGAAGAGGAAGAGGAGGAGGGGGTGGAGTGGGGCTACGAAGAAGGTAACCGGCCGCGAGTCGGGCGGGGGGTCCGGGGCCCCGCGTGTGCGTCCCGCCGAGCGCCGAGTCCCTGCAGCTCTCGCGCGCTCCCAGCACCGCCGCGTCCCCTCTTTCCCACGTGCGTCTCTGTCGCTTTCCCGCTCCCCAGGCCCGATTTGGGGCCGAAGTGGCCTCAGGCAGAGCGGGCGTGCCCGCCGCCTGGCGTTCGCGTCGGGGAGCCGGGCCGTGCTGCCGGGCAGCGGTTGGCACCTGCGGCCATGCGGAGGGCCAGCCTTAACGCTGCGCCTGGAACCCTTGTGTGTGCTGAGTGCCCGCGAAGAGCTGCGTTACGTTTCACCCAGCACCTTAGGTACACAGTGGTACCGAAACTATTCGTTTCTTGCTTGCTGTGCGGACCCTGCTGGGAGAAAGCATTCTTGCCACTACTCTTTTCATGAAGGGTACTAACAGTGTTCAACTCCAAAGAAGCCCCAATTTCAAGCTGAATCAGTGGGCTTGGTCGGAACGGGGTTGACTTTTTAAAAAGTTTTGTTTGCTCCATTTATCCCAGAAGATGTAGGACTCCTAATAGACCACTGGTGCTCCCTAACTGACCACTGGTTCTGATGTCGAAACAAATGGGGGAATTTATAATTTTATAAAATATGCTAAGAGAATATATGTATATATTGTATGATTATATCGGTGTGCGTATATATGCATAAGACCACTTCAGAATTGCTGTATTTGCATTTTTTAAAATATTTTATTTTTTATTCATGAGAGTCAGAGAGAGAGAGGCAGAGGGAGAAGCAGGCTCCCCTGGGACTCGATCCCAGGATCCCGGGATCATGACCTGAGCCGAAGGCAGACGCTTAACCACCTGAGCCACCCAGGCTCCCATGTATTTGCCTTTCTGATAAGAGGTGTTTATTCACGAGCATCAGATTTATGGTTTTTGGCTCTCATCAAGCAAGTTCAGACTTTTGGGTATTTCTCAAGTACTACATGTAATTGAACTAACGAGCGAGGAAATTTTTGTGGAACTATTGATTCTTTTTCAGTCACTTAAAGACCTAAATTTTCTAGAATCACGTATTACATCTATGCGGACAAAGACAAATACAATATTTTGTTAGTACAATACTTTGTGTGTGGTATTTGATAGCATTAGATCATTGAAGATATGAATGCAGAAATTCATACACATTTACCATATTTCATCTGTAAAGAAACAATAGTCATAACCTTAGTAATGTCAAGGATCATAAACAGTGTCTAAACTGGCTTTTACATGTTAAATTTTGTTGGAACTTTCTTTTAACCTGTTCTAAATTTGCTTTTTTTTTGTGCTTAGGTGTTGAGTGGGGCTTGGTGTTTCCTGATGCTAATGGGGAATACCAGTCTCCCATTAACTTAAACTCAAGAGAAGCTAGATATGACCCCTCACTGCTGGATGTCCGCCTCTCCCCAAATTATGTGGTCTGCCGAGACTGCGAAGTCACCAATGACGGACATACCATTCAGGTTATCCTGAAGTCAAAATCAGGTATATTAGAAGATGCTTTTGCATGCCTTTGTAAATTAGAAGTTCTTATGGAGCTATTGAATTGATTTGGCTTATATGACTTTAAAAGTAGAATTAACATAGTACCATTATCAGGATAGCTTAGTATACTATAAAATGCATTTCTAAAACGTTTTTGAAAGGATAAAAGGTTGAAATTATGGAGATGGTTGTATTATATGATTGCTGGAACAACCTCAGTTGATCAACTTAAACTTTGTGGGATTTAAGGAAAAGTATATTCAGGTGTACTAATCTGCATTTTGTCCTAAATCGTTCATTAGCTTAATTCATTTAGAAAATTAAAATTCTCTGTTTCGCTGCTTTGTAAAACTAAAGATTAGGATTTATTGACATAATCTGGCATTCGAGGTAGACTTCTCAAGTTAATTTTCTCTACTATATTAACGTGGCAGGGATTTTAATAGTAATCAAAAACATCCTTTAACCGTAGTAAAAGATTTAAATGGCCAACAAAACTCTTGTTTGTATTTAGTTTTAGCTCTTCCTCTCCCCTTTGAACCTGTTTGAGATGGATTTGAAATGTTTTGTGGAAAAGGTGTTGGAAATTATCAAGGAAATTGGCTTAAATGTAGGGGAGAAGAAAGAAGAATTTTTTAAAAATTAGCATTATATTATGCTTTTCTTAGTGAATAGTTGGATTTCTCTCTTGGAAGGAATATAAAGTTAGAGTATGTTGGAATATAAAATTAGAGTATGTTGAAATATTGGGAAGTACTAATGAACAGAGATCACCTGTACTCAAAATTAATTCTGAATCAATAATTTGATATTTCAAACCATAAACTCTTTAGGTTTATTATTTGACAGGGCAGGCATTGATTTTCAACTATGGAATTTTTGTTTTAAAACTCATTGTGAATGTTCCTGAACTTTACTTTAGAATCTACGAGCTAGTTAGTCATAGATTCATGTAGTCTTTCCTGATGTTCTGAGTTGAGTTAAGGTATGGGCATCACCCCAGACAGATCCTAGGTGTTGTTATATGTAGTCAAAGAGAGACAGCTTCAGATGTAAATTTGAACTTAAGTAAGATTTTTTTTTGGGGGGGGCTATCCATGAGGGACATTAGGTATTATTTTTAAACTATATAGTAAAATTATGAAATGCTGACTGTCCTGGTTTATAAAAAGCATACTAATGTAACAAATGTGCATTGGTGTGTTGACATGCCTTTGTATTTCTGGAAATAAACATTTATATATCTACAGAACAAAAATGCATTTCACATCAGGCACCGTGGTGAGTGTGTATGCGTAGACAAAGGCATAAGACCGTTCTCGAGGATTCAGAGTTTAGTGAAAAGAGAGTCCTTTAAAGTATTAGTATAAAGATGTTATGGAAGAGTTATGAAATATGGAAGCATGGAGGAATGACTGAGTACAAATACTCTCTGCTCTAAGATCCAATTTACTTGATCAAATTGAATTTAACATTTCCTTCTGGTACCTTCTCAAACATTCACGATTTCCCTTGGCCCCTTCACTCATCCCCAAAACAGAGACTATCAAGCAGTGTCTCGACTCTCTAACCACAAGGTTTTCCCTTGCAGTCCAGTCCCGTCCATCCTCCACCCCTGACCAGCAGGGGAGAGCTCTCTGTCCCAGCCTAATTTGGATACACATGTTCCAGACCCCTTACTCCTGCCTCCTTGGAGAGCTTGCACCTTTAGATGCCCTGTCTCCTTTCTGCTGCTGGAATAATGTCATCTTTGTTGTTTCTGCCTTTTCCATATTTCTCAAACTTAAAAAAGAAGGGACAAAAAAATACCATGTGTGGACCATTTATTTTCCTAGGATATTTAAGCTTTTCAAAGGAGTAGTCTGCAAGCCCCGAGCACCCCGTCCTTCATTTATTTAATTCAAGGGTTATCTTTATCAAAATAGGATATACACATAATTTAAATAGTTGACTTGTGCTATATGTTGTTTCTCTCTGCCCCTGGTGAGATCCTACCCCCAGCCCCCAGCTAAAACTTTTTGCCCTGGTGACAACCACGTTCAATTCTTAGCTACTTCTCCTGTCTCCATCCCTTATGGATAGGTTTATACCGTCCTGCTTTGACGTTTAAGAAACCTGTGAACTTCCTGCTACGGGAATGAGGCTGGTTCTCTTACTGCCCTCCGCCATCATGGTTTGCCCCTCTGTTTTCCCTGTATACTTAAGTTACGGTTTTTCTTTAAATTAATACTCAGTATTTTTATCACTATGACCATGTAGCTGTTGTTTCCAGCTGAGACTATATTCTCTTTCCTTTATTGAACAATGTGGAGTTTTTCTCCCCTGGAGTTAATGCATTCTTGTTTATTTATTTTCTTATTTTATCTATCATGATTTTATTTCCAGACTCTGACAGATGGCAGAGCTACCCTGAGAAGTCCCTCCCTTCCTTCCTTTGGTCTTTCCCACCTGCCCTTGGAGGCTTCTCCCTTCTTCTGCCCCTCTGGATCGCTTGATCTCTAGGCCTGCCCTCTAGCCATCACCTGCAGCTCCCTGGACCTTATGCCTAGGAGGTCCCTTTGCTTATTTCTTGTGTCCAATCCCATGTTTCCTGGATGCTGGGCAGCCACTTTTGTAGTTGATCCCTCATTTCAAGGAGTTTCTTGGTTTATTCCCTCCTATAGTCCATCTTCCAGTAATTTCCGGAGAAGAAGGGCATTTGAGGGCTAATATTTGGATTCCTTGTGTGTCTCTGTGCTGGGTGCTTTGTGGGCCTTTTGATCAGGATGATTGTGTCTTCCATTTCTTAGAAATTTTCTTACATTATGTAATTGATAAGTTTTCTGTTTCTCCTTTATTCTTTCATAACTCCTCTGTTTTTGTCTTTTTGTTCTACTTCCTGGTAGATTTCCTCAACTTATATGTCTTTTAGTCTTTTTTTTTTTTTTAAGATTTTTATTTATTTGGCAGAGACACAGCGAGAGAGGGAACACAAGCAGGGGGAGTGGGGGAGGGAGAATCAGGCTTCCTGTGGAGCAGGGAGCCTGATGCGGGGCTTGATCCCAGGACCATGGGATCATGACCTGAGCTGAAGGCAGACACTTAACGACTGAGCCACCCAGGCGCCCCTCTTTTGGTCTTTCTATTATATTTCCTGCTCTTACATTTTTTACTTCTGAAAAAACTGTGCTTCTTCTATGATTTTTCTTAGTTGTTCAAGTACAACTTCTGCTATTTATTTTATAAATGCAGACTCTTTTTCCATTGTTTTCTGTATTGCTTTTTTCCCCTGTTCTTTCTATGTCTCTATTTATTCTGGGTCCTTCTATTTGTTTGGTCTCTCTCTTTAAGATGGGAGTTCTTCTCAAGTGTTTAGTTATCTTTGGCTCTTTGTTCATATTTAAGAATGAGTCTAAAAATTGGATTAGAAGATTTGTGCACCTGGGCAGGGATTATGATCTGGTGGACATCACAGTAATGTGATCATGTAAGGATCTGGCCATGTTGTAGACGGAACTTCTGTAGACTGTGTTACCCATTTTTCTGGAGAAAGGGATGTATGTGGTGGCTCACACCTGACTGTCAGCATTCTGGTTGTTGACCCATAGGCAAAAGAGTTGAACCAGAGTGGCACATTTGTTACAGTTGCTGAACCTGTGTTGACACATCATTATCACCTAAAACTTAGAGTTTACATCAGGGTTCACTCCTGGTGTTGCACATTCTGTGGGCTTCCACAAATGTACAATGGCATGTCTCCACCATCATACTGTCCTACAGAATAGTTTCATCATCTTGAAACTCCTCTGTGCTCTATCTACTCTTTCCTTCCTCTCTCCAGCTCCTGGCAATCACTGATCTTTTTACCATCACCATAATTCTGCATTTTTCAGAATGTCGTATAGTTGGAAGCATACATTGACTTCTTCCACTTAGCAATTTGCATTGGCTTCTGTTACTGGTTTCCTCTGGCTTGCAAAGATGTAATCTTTGTTTTACCTACCTGCTTTGGATCAGGTAAATAGAAATCAAGCCCCCACCCTGCTCTCAAGAAGATTACAGTGGTGGATTATGAAAGATAGGTGTACAGGAAGAGATGATTTTGGGCTGCCATTATTGGGGAGGATGGGCAGAGGAAGTAGCATTTGCAGTGAACACTGAAGAGTGAACAGCATTTGGATAGGGAAGATTGGGCTATATGGGAAGAGAGGGCAACAAGCAGAAAAGACAGCGATTTGAAGGTCTAGACATTGGATGAGGAAGAATGAATCCTGAAGTGTATCTGGAAGAAAATACTGATTCATGGTAAATGAGGTTAATATATACATCGAGAGGCTGTGTTGGAGCAAACTCATGAGGGATCTTGAATCAAGTCTAAAGAGTATAACCTTTTTTTTTTTTCCCCTGTAAAATACGTTGCTTTAGGAAAATTCACCGGGCCATACTGAGTAAGACGGGATCTGGGAGAGAGGGGAGCTGCTGTGTTGGCAGTGCCAGTGGAAAATCAGGGATGACACGGGGAGATTTCTGAGATGCCGTCCACAGGAAGTCGGTGTTTGGCCATGTGGAACAGGGGTGAGGAGGGACCTGTTGGAAGGATGCGCTGGGGAGGAGCCCCTGGGACTGGACCACGCTTTGGGTCCCGTCATTGTGCTTTGCCCTCTGCTCTCAGCATCTTTCAAGGTGACAGAGTGCCTCCTAACATGGAGTGGAGCCGAGCTTCACATTCCGGGTCCTGTGATCTCCTGGAGTATGGAGAACGTTATTCAGGCTGCCACATCTGTCATTTAATCTCTGTCGGACATGTGAATCAGTGTAGCACAGGAATTGCCACGTTTTGTGTACACAACTGAAAATCAGACATGTTACAGCAGCAGAAAGTAGCTTAAGTATAAAAATATAACTGTAGATTTCTAGCCTGAGTGGTTGGATACTTACTTAAGTCATGAGAAAGTGTGAGACTGGCCAAGCTTCTGCAATAGAATGTCATTCCATCTGACGACAAGCTGTGTGTTAAGGGT